CAGCATTAGAATAGGATACATGAGTATGTAAGTCTTCCAGAAACAACTGATAGTCCAGGAAGGAAGATTTTGTCAAAGATTTGTTTAGAAATCCTCTTGAAAATCAAAGTTGAGTAAATTAAATACTGATGCTGGGCCACCTTTTTGAATATGTTTTGACTGCGAGGGGTGGAGATCTTTTAGGTGTAGTAGCAGGACCTGTGTATCCTCAAACATTTGTATTGGTGTCTTCTTATGTCTATATAAACTTGTTCTTAGAACAATGCACATAGGAATTTATACTAGCTGTAACAGACAGGCCAAAGTTATACCTGACTAAATAGCTGTAGCAATGAACATTTTTTGAGCAGGACCAATGGAGAAGGGAAATATGAAGGGATTGCAAGGCTTGTGGGATTTCTGTTTTAGTTAGTTTGGTTTGGTTCCTGTCTGCCTTTTGCAGTGGTGTAGCATAAAACTCAGACTATAGTCACATTTCTTAAGAAATCATGCTAGAAAACATTTTCAATAGCTACATGTACTAAAGTAAAACTGGAGGCTAAGAATTTCTATAAGGATGTGATCAGACAAGAAATAAAATTAAATTTAAAAAGAGAGAGAGGGAATTTGCTCAAGGTCATATTCACTTGCTGCAGCCTCTTTGTCCTCATCCATGTTTCAGATAAAATTACCTGTTCCCTTAAAATTTGGTCATTATGGTTAGGGACAGAGCTGCACATAAACTGGTATAAAAGTGATCAAAAACCAGTTCAGCTCTATAACACAACAGAAGTTCAGTGCACATAAATCACCAGTTTAAGATATACCTGGATGGATGTAGTATCAGACTGAACTGATTTAGGTTAAATCAGTTTATTAAACTTCTGTCCCACATCCCCTCCAGATTCAAGTTAACTCACAGTCCCCCAGGATCCCAGGATGCTTTGGACCTCCCTCAAACATCTCCCCTCACAGGATGGGTGGGTTAAACTTGGTCCAAGCTGCCTGCTCCAGCTTATCAGGGAGGCATGTTTTATACCCTCCCCTCCCTCGATCTGCAGCTTCTGGCCTTGGCTACTTCAGGCATATGGCTGCATTTCTGTAATCAAAAGTGAATGTCTGTTCACTTGTTATTGGTTCAATCTACAGTATAGACTAACCTGTGAAGATTGAATCAATTCAGCCTTGGGCTTTTTAACTGTCTGTATGTAGCCTAAGTATTTCCAAAGCAGCTGGAAGATTACAACCCTAAAGTTATCTTCAAGAGAAACATTTCAATTCTTCTTTTTTAGCTGAGACTCCTGAACTGGCTCCTGTCACCATTTCTTTAATACTCTTGCTTAGAAGTAGAAGTTTTACAGGAAGGTCCATGGGTAAAATTCACAAATATCCTAAGGCCTTGTCTATATGAGTAGCGGTGTTGTTTCCACTACATCAAACCCTTCATGTTTTGATACAGTTTAGTGCACCAGTAAACTTCTTTTTCTGGTATTTTACAACAGGTATTTGAACAAAATAAGTTATGCCAGGAGAACTATGGGTTAAACTTTTGCCAGTATAAAAATGCTACAAAAAACCTCAAAAACCAAATAAAGGGCTGTCTCATGTTCATTTGCAACAGTTACAAATCATTGGAATGTTGTAGTGACTGATCTAATGGCTTTGTTACAGATTGTATTTTAAGCTTCTCAAATATTGATCAGAATTCATGTTAGCTTGAGTTTAGAGTAGTTGCTTGTTCAGGCTAAAAACTTTCTCTGACTGTCCCTGTCCAGCACAACTTGCCACTAGAAGTCTGGCAAACAAGGGTCTGACTAGGAGCTACAGCCGTGAGTTGCCACAAGAGGGCTGATGAGCCAGGACAAGCTTTTATCTGTGCTGTAGGTGGTGGTGTGATAAATAGATGGGTTGGTGAGGGCCAGAGCATGAGGCTTGAAGGGGTAGAGCTTAATGATGGGATCCTGGTTAATGACATGGGAGTGGTGGCAGTGGGTAGAAATGGCAGCTGCGGGCTGGGTGGTAAAATTAAGTCAGCCAGCCAATGAAGGTACTAAAGGGTAAAATAAAAAGAAGCATACAAAAAAAATCAGAAAGAAATAAAGAGTAAGTATATTAAAGAAAATCTTATGTTTTAATAGATTGGGATTTGGTAGCTGCAGCTCACAGGGACACTGCCCCCCCCAGGTGAGAAGCATCAGCTCACAGGAACCCTGATCTGCCCTCCCTTACCCCACCATTCACCCCCTCAGTCCTCACTCCCGGACTCCTCTGTGTCCTTGTGAGCTGCCCAGTAAGGTCACATCCCTAGGGGCAGTAAGGGACTTGGCTTGGTGCCAGTACAGCCACCTGAGCAGTAAAGTTCAGGGGGTAAATATTTTGTCCACCCAGAACAGGATGGTAAGAGAGCAGTCACTTCAACCTGGCATGCTGGAGGACTGAAAATAGGGCAGCTCATCTGTGGGGAGTGGCCACACATTTGTGGAATACAAGCTAGGTAACATGGCTCAGAAAGAATTTGCCTTGGAGTCGTGTAACTTTAAGACACCTAAAGGGTGATTAAAACTAGTTTACACATCTTTGTGTGTGGACAATCAGAGGTTAAGAGCTCCCAAAGCCACCTAAAATTAATGTGCAACAAAACCTTAAGTTAATATGTGTTAGGAGATAGCTCTCACCTGACTGGTAACTATTTTGCAATACCATGAAGGATGCACCCTTTGATAGTGTCTTGTATTTTTGTTTTTCCTTCCTGTCTCCGGGGATTCTTCAGTTACTTTGTTTTGTCTCCTGTGACCTCCATAACAAAAGCATTTGAACAATTTTTTCCGCTGAGGAGGATCCTAATACCTGTGTTCTGTTTTTAAAATCCATATTAGATTGAGATGCTGCTTTAGATGAGCAGTTTACTTTCCCTCTTTCATTGTTCCACTCTCATACATAGTGTATTGCAAACTATAAACATTATAGTTACTTACTTTTTTAATGCTGTTTTCCATTTAGAAGGCCAGCTGGACTTTGTCCTTATCTGACAACAAAGTTGTTACTTATTTGGTTTTCAGGCTTTAAGTGTCAAGATAAATCGACCCCTCTATTTTGCCTTTTTAAAAATACCTTTATAGTGTCTTTAATCTGCCATCTTAAATTTTAATGGTGTACTTGCCACTGAATAAGATCCTTTTGCAATAAACTTTTACTTATATTTCTTCTGTTACATTTCCAGATATTTATCATGCTTGGGGGGAAAAGAAAGCCAGTGGATACTAGTCTGTTTTGTGATAAAATCAAGGAGAAAGTAGAGAATGAGTTTATTCATGCTTCTTTCAGTTTGCATGTTATTCACAATCAGCAAACTTTAGTACATTGTCACTATGCCTGACACAAAAAGGGCATAGAAAATGCAATTGTGATTCATTCATTTTATGATTTGCTTTATCATGCCCATTACACTTAGAGAACCTGATCCAGCTCCCTTTAAATTCAATTAGAATTCTATCATGCTGCAAGATGGGAAACCTAAGGTCATGTAAGAAAAGAAGTCTTGGCTCCCCTGAAGCCACTAGTAAAACATCCAGACTTTTGTTCGTGGGCTGTGATTATTTTTTTCTCCCCAAGAACTTAAGAGACTTATTTCACTTAGACTTTTGTGAAAGTTCTAGATATTGTTGATTACTCGAGCTGGACTGTAGGATTTTGAGTCATAAAAAGGTAGTGGTCACCATTCATTTTAATCTTGGCAGCCTAAGCCCACTTTTGTGATTTTACCCCAAATTGTTTAATGTTTAAGAGTAGTAAATAAAACCCCAGATCCTGGAGTCAAATAATATTCTTGAGAATCTCAAATTACTTCTTTAAAGTTTGTAGTCCTCAAGATTATAAAGAAAAGTTCATCAATGGGCATTTGAACATGTGACAAAAAGTGACAAAAAGAAATCGTCATTTGTCTAATATAATGGTGCCACAACGTGCCTGTGCACAATTTCTTTTCCATGTCGAAATGTATTTGGGTGTCGTAACTTAGACCACCGCCGATGTATTTTAGTTTAATAAATTGTCCCATTGTGGATATAAAGATGTACATGTCTCACAGCCGGAGAAGGTGGTGGGGATGGTGCATGGGGTGCTGGAAGCCCGGGTGGGATCTCAGAAGTTGGCCCTTTGTGGGCTTCCAAGGCCCCATGCACCATCCCTGCCACCTTTCCCAGCCACCAGCACACCTAGCTGTCCTCCTGCCACCTTCCCGCACTGCCCCAGGAGCAAGCCAACCCATTCCCGGTCAGTCCCCGGCAGCAGAAAGGGGGCAGAGACAGTGCACAGAGCACTGAAAGCCTGCCAAGCCTGAGCTTGAACAGATGTTACAGACGCAAATACATTGTGACGGTTTTGTCTTCAGGAGTAGCTTGTTGTTTTAGTCATGGCTTCCAAATCAGTTTCATGAGATTCAGCTCTGACTCATACTTGAATGCTTGAGATCAGCAATGTTGTATTTATAGTTATTTTTCCTGTAGGCAGCTGTCCTCCATATTTTGTAACATTTGCATGTGACTGAAAGAGAAACTGAAAAGAAAATAGGTTCTACCATTATGCAATTCCTGTTGCTAATGAATACATAACAATAAAACTAGAAATGAACATTGATTTTCACAGGGAGGTTATAGTAGTCATTGATCAGATGTTAAACAACATTCTGGAGTAATCAAATGATGGGTCTGTCTACATTACAAGAAAAAAAAAGTTTGTTAGGATTAAAATGCTAGAAAGCTTTACTGAAGGTTAATTCAACTTTTACTGCTGCTGAACTTTTCAAATGTGAAATTCTCTATAGAGAAAAATGAGATGCCAGTAATATAGCCATATTTAGAATTATTTGTTCTATACTCAATGTCTGTCAGTTAGTTGGATTGGTAAAGCCAATGTCATTGAATCTGATGATTCTGAAGTTCTGTAAAGCAAGTTCTGAACTGGCACCTTATGTTTTGACGGTAATCTCATGCCATTTTTCCATCCCTATGTTTTTTCCACAGACACCACAACATATTCCACTGAGCGATCTGAGCACTTTAAGCCATGCAAAGACAAGGATCTTGCATACTGTCTCAATGATGGAGAATGCTTTGTGATTGAAACTTTAACAGGATCACACAAACACTGCCGGTAAGTCATTGCACTGTGTACCAGATCCACAAAGGGACTTGTACACTGTAGCACTCGGTGTTGTAGACCCTGATTTTTCCATGTCTGGCTAACAAGATTAGAATTCAGAACCTGAACTGTATTTCCATATGATGCATAGCAAAAGTTAAATGTCTAAGTGGGATTTGCAACAGCTGACACGTAAGTAGGGGGATGTTTAAGATCACTCTTCAGAAATGCTGAAAAGAAAGTTGTATCTGAAATCTGACTATTCTTCCAGACTTAGGTGCCTGCCCTCAACCCTATGTGATAGTGAGATTCATAGTCTAACAACCTTCCTGGCCTCTGATTCCTGTTAATGATAGTGTTTCTGGATTCTTTCCTGTGAAATTTTAGTGCAAAATGTCTAATAGTTCCTGAAGTAGGGACCAGAGTCCAGGACTTCTCCCTCACTTACTCACCCTCCCCCCTCCCCCCAGTAAGCTAAGTAAGTGCTCTCAACCCTGAGTTAAGAGTCGCATTCCCTTGGCTTGCTCTCTCTCTCTCTGTCCCCAATGAATATTGCATTTAGCGATGCACAGTTGGCAATGCTTCAGCAGGTAGGATGTAAGGTTCCCCCACACAACCTTGTCTGTATGTTGGTGTGTAGGGCAGTCTAGTGGGAGGGGAAAGATGTAAGCTCTTCTGCTTTTGGAGGTTTAAATGCACATCTCAAGTTACCCACTTCTGGACAACTGCTGTAACTACTCAACTATTCTGCAAAAAAGGTACATTTCTTCTCCTCCTTCAGCTCCACTTTTTGTATGAAAGTTACCAGGCTGTTGTGCTTTGGAGTGAAATCAATGCTGCCAGTGACTACCTAGACTGCAGACTTTCCATACCTTGCAGTGGTACCCTCAAAGATGCCATGGTACACCTTCCACCAAACGCAGCATAGACATGTCTGAGCTTCATAGCATTGCTGAGTAACAGTACCAGTTAGCCCACACACTTTTTCTACACTATTTCTGGTTGAAGGAAGAGGAAGTAGCATGCACATAAGTGTTTGAGGGTGTTGCTCAAACCTAGAAGCCTGTTACATAACAGGTACATAAATACTGTTGTGGGTTTTGTGCATGTTGGGGCCTAGGATTTAACAAACAAAAAAGGCAAAATAATGTTGGTAATATCCAAGGATACAACAATAATAAATATAAACCTATTTACATACATAAATTAGAAGACAGTACAGTAAATTATCTTGGAATTTTCCCTCCATTCTGTTTGGTGTTTCTTATTTATGGCATTTCATATTTAAAAATTAATGCTTTGGTTGCTTGCATGGGTAAGTTTAACCTTTAATTTTCTAATGATTTTTCTAATTTATAGCCAAATGTTGAGGGTTATATATTCAGATTTTGCTCGTTGATGCTAACATTCCTTTTATTTTTACATGTTTTAAAATATGTATTTTTTTTGGAAAGTTACAATTGGTGGTCAGGAATAGCACTTTGATAAAAATACACCCTATACAGCTAGGAAACATAAAGCTATCCTTGGTTCCAACCAATGGACATTTATTACACCTACATGTTACAGTTTGGGGGAAAATGACTGTGGATCTATCAGGAAGCAAATGTGTATTTTTACATTATTTTATTTGTTTGTTACTTGTTTCTGTGGAACAATCTGCTTGAAAAAATAAGCTATTTTAAGTTTGAAACTGAGTGTGCTAAATATAGGCACACATGCCTATACCACTTGAAAATTAATGTTTAGATATACTGCCCAATAAAAGCAGTGGTGAGGAAAACAAATCCTTTATTTATTCTTTGCCTCAGAATTTAAACAAATGAAAAAATATCCCAGAAAAATATTTTAACTATTCTAATAACATGTTCAGATAGAAACAATCTAAAACAGTTCCATGTTAAAAGACCATATAAACACAACTTGACCTTACATTAATTTTCAATCGGTATAGGCATGTGTGCCAAATTATATATGCAGTATGTATAAATATGCATATAATGGCAAATTAGACATTATTTGCTAGATTATGGCACTGTGTACATGTACGCAGTTATTATGCAATTAACTGAGACTAGCAACAAGTGCAACGTACCTATCACACTATAGAAAGATTCAACCCTCTATAAACTTAGATCTCAAAAATATGTAGTAACTTTATGGCTGGTTGCTATCTAGCTTCAATTTGCATGTGTAGCGGGGGCTTCCCCTGTGGCTAAGAGCCCTGTCAGTTGTTGGGGCTCCCAGATATGGGTGGGCACTATATGCAGATGGAACTGGGAGTCCCACAGTGGAAAGGACTTTCCACCCCAGCAGCTCCAGGCAGCTGCAAACTCTGGTCCTGGCAACTGTGGGGCACTGCTGTGATATCCCAGCCCTGAGAGTCTGTGTGCAGGGCATGCTACAGCTGTGAGATGGAAGCTACTTTGATCTCCCAGCCATGGGGATGTCCCACACACCTCCATGGTTAGGAGACTGCAGCTGCTGTGATCCCCCATCTACAGGGGTTTACTATGGACCCGTGGGACTGGGAGATACCAGTGGAGTGCTGCCATGACAGAAGTTGCAGAAGTCGTGCTCTTCTAGCCTGAGGGGTCATGGGACATCCTGTGGCTGGGAGATCATAGCAGGAGTCATCTCCCATCTGAGGAGACTCCAAGCTGCAGAAGCTTGTTTTCTGCTAGTTCAGGGAGACCCAGCAATAAGGCACAATGGGATCTAATGCATGATCCCACAATCATGCCTCCTTCCATGCACGTATGGCATGGCAAAAGATGCAACTGTTTGATATCACCTTAGATCACATTGCACATTTATCTGCATGTGTAGAGGGTCCATATGAGAGAAAAATATCAGATTAAATATTTCAAAAGCAACTAGTTTCCTGAAAATGACTAAGGTACTTTAGTCCCACTGAAATTTCTTCAAGAAACAAAAGTTAAGGTAAAATTTATTATCCCTCTTTTTTGGATGACCATGCTTTCAAAGCTAGGCCATGTGGCTTTAAAAGTTGATGCACAAGTAAAATTATCATCAGAAAAATATCCCAACAAGCCCTTTATGTTTAGTGTTACACTAGTAATTTGTTTTTCCTTTCAATTGTACGTGCTTCAGTGATTATTTCTTTCTCCCCTTTATTTACTCTTCTCATATGGCATGCTTATTAAATTAATTATTCTGAATCATTAACCATGGACAAGGATGACATTTCTTCTCTAAATCTATCATAAAACTTTATAGTTTTCTGAAAGTGTTTTATTGAAGCAAGTAAGTGAGTTGCACTTTTTATTTAGAAGATTTCAAAGCTACACAATAGGAAATTACATCTTTAAAATATTTAGTCCTTTTTTCTTGTTGATGGAGGCAGGTTACACAAAACCAGTAGAAAATAAGTAGAAGTTAATATAACCATTCTTAGGTAGGTCTGTAAATCAGGAGATGTTTGGCAAAGACTATATTAGTAAACTTTATGAATTAGCTTGAATAAGCACCATCCGGAATAAATATCAATGGTGAAGTGCCTTTTCTTTGTCCCATTTCTAAGATTAAAAAAAAAAATTCTAATATGCCCTCCCCAATTCTTCCATGTTTATTTACTGTAGCAATTATGCCATTTAAAGAGCGGTTCCAGTGAAACAGAATGTTTCAGCCTTCCTGATACTAATTCTATTAGCAGCCAGCACTATTTCCTGTAGTTTTCTGAGAAGGTACAATGATCACAGTGGTTTTATCTTTCCATCAATGCCTTTTCCATCCCCATAACTTTAGAGAAGGAGAATTTGAAGTTATTAGTTCTTCAAAGGAGTCATCAGCCCTTCCTTCTCTTTAATTCTTCTGCTACATTATTTCTTCTATACAGGGAGAGATGTTGGGGAGGGGAGGGGGTGCAGGAGCTATAATTGAACCTCCTTTCAGCTCTGTGGTGCATGGGCAGTGAGCTCTGAGCAAATTGGCTTCTTAGCCCAGTTTGCTTTGGCATGGCTTAAGTATCCAGAAGGTCACCCCCCACCTTCTTGCTAGCTGATAAATTTTGGGGTAGGAAAAGTGGCGGGGGGAAAGAGGGGAGTTGTGGCAGGCTTCACTTCTCACATTCTGGGGCCACCCTAAAGTGGCAGTTGTGGTAGAAGCTTCACTTACAAGCCAGTGAGTTCAGAGATCTCACTGCATATGTACTACATAGCCATGAGTATAACCACACCTCCATGTTTCCTGCTCCTGGATCTGCTTATGTTTCTACACGAAAAGTTTTATGTCACACATTACTGACTTAAGACTATCATATGCGATGGTTCAATAGCAACTAAATTAAAAGATGCTGATTTTGATGAAGTACCATTTATTCATATGTTTGCATATCCTAAAATTCTGTAGCAGAAGGATAATTCTTCATTAAAATGTGAAAGATGAATTAAAAAAAACACTCAAAAATTCATCACACTCTCTCAAATTCTTCAGGATTAAAATAAGGTCAATGGATGCCTCTATATATAATATATGTGGAACATCTGTTACTGTAATGTGTATTGAGACACTGAGATGTGTCATGAATCACTTGTGATTTGTTTTAATTAAATGTACCGTCAGATAATTTTTTACTTCTTGTCTGACAGGGGAATAATTACTTTTCCCTCTAAATTCTGAATCTGGGAATTAGGATGTAAGCCATTCTAGTATACTTTGTTCCTCCTTTCCCAGTACTCATACTACCATTTCCTCCATTTCCAGCATGGGACCCAGAATTCTACCCCTTTCCACTGTCTCATCATAACACTGCTCTGAAACTGTGGCAAATACTAACCCATACTTCCCTGGCTATTCTGTTATTGGTAGCACTAGTATAACTGCTTGGTGCAATAAAACAGTTTTAGTAGTATTCACAAGGGTAATGTTTCTCCCATTGATAGAATTTTTCAACCTTATCTTTGTGATATTTTGAAAATCTAGGAGGAAAGATATTTCATTTTTAAAAGCAAATGTTGTAGTTATTATCAGAGTTTTAATTCTATGTCTGCTTTC